AAAAAGCAGGAGAATGGCTTGGCCTGTGTCCGGTCTCTGTGCAGACCTGCCATGGGGGAGAGGCCGTGGGTCTGCTAGTACTTTCCCGCTTGTCTAAGCAGACTTCCACAGTGGACCCGTGTGTGTCTGAGCCTGTCTTGGTTGTGCAATGCTGAGCGGCCCCACCCTCCCGGCCCCTTCCTGAAAGTGAAATGTGACTGCCCTTGCTCAAGAACAAAAGCCCCAAGTTCAGCCCCGCATGGCAATGATTTTCAAGTGTGGCCACTTCCTCCTGTGGGGCCCGCCGCTGAGTGTTGAGGACAGACCAGGCCCCGGACAGGGAGGTCCTGCTGGGGGTGGGAGAGGGAGCCTGGTGCTGGTCCCTCTGGGCCTGGGGCGGCTGTGGCAGAGGAGGCCTGTGGCGGGACGACTCAGTCTTCCCACCTCCGCTCTGCTTCCCTGCTCTGGGGCCACCTCCACACAGTGCTTCTGCTCTTGCTCCAGGATACCCAGGGGCAGGGGGAGGGGGGACCATTGGAGCCTGTTTCTCCCCTTGCCCACGCAGAATCAGAGGCCCACCAGTGTAAGTTCAGTGTCAGTGCGGTAAGTGGTTGGCAGTGTGGGCTTTGGGGAAGAATCCTTACTCGCCACTTCCTGACTGTGAGACCGCAGGCGAGTTAATTCCTCTGTGTCTGTCTCAGTCTCTTCATCTACCAGATAATCTGCTTCCTACCCTGCGGGGTTGTTCCGAGGATCCCATGTAGGTGAAGTGCCTCACACAGGGCCAGAGTGGGTCCCTGCCACATGGGATGTGCCCAGCCTGGAGCCTGGCAGAATGGGAAAGGGCTGGTGGACTCCTCCTCCCTGCGGCTCGCCCCCCTCACCCCCCCCAGCCCCCTGTACTGTAGTGCAAACTGTACTGTACTGTAACTGTGCTGTAAACTGTAAAGTACGGTGCACACTTAAAGCACCACCATTTGGGTCAGTTGGCGTGCTCAGAGTGAGAAAATAATCCATTTCAGTATCCTTAAATGAGGAGGGTCAGCAGACCGTAGCTGGAACTCCCGGCTGTGTCCCACTGTAGAAGCTGGGCTTCCGTTCTCTCCTTGCCTGCTCATCCTTCCCCCTTGGTTAATTTGGCGGGAGCACACATAGCTTCACTGTCTGCAAAGGTGGCAGGAATCTGAATTCACCCTGTGTCTGTGGGCCTGATAATCCCCACAGCTCCACTGTTATGTATACATAGCCCTTGAAGGACGAAATCAAGCCTATGTTTACTGCCAGGAGGCAATGCTTGAGCACTTGCTAGATACATTGTGAGTTAAGGGGTGACCAACAAGGAACCCAGGGACTAAGGAACAGCCAGCTGCTTTTCCAGCGTCCCAGAGATTGCTGGCTGCTTCCCAGACTGTTGCCTCACAGCTCTTAAGTCTGGATAAACCTTGCAATCCACCATAGGCTGGGGCTGTTCTGGCCATGCCTTTTGTCCGAGCCAGCCCCTCATGCCCACTCTGTGATGGAGGAAGGGCATGCAGGGTCCGCACATCCCAGGCTGGGTTCTTCCCCTTGAGAGACAGAGCGGGTGCGAGTCTGGGCTTGTGGGGTGATTTGACAGAGCCTTTGTTTGCTGACTGTTGACTAAGCCCAGGTGTGCAGACCCAGTGTTTATAGAATCCTGGTTGTCTCCGGCTGGAATGAAGCAAGTAGGTGCTCAGGAGAGGGGGAGGTGTCATGGACAATCCAAAAGTCATTTGTTTAGGGCCTGGTGCCAGAGAGAAGGTATTTTTGCAGATCTCCCTAAATCAGTCTGACTGGAACTCTCTTTAATGCGTGCCTACAGTATACGGGCCATAAAATTCAGTCCAGACACCTGGGAACCATCTGGGGACTTAGGGCACACACAGAGGCTGTCAGTGGGGAGAGGGGCCTGGAGATCATCTCAGTCCTCCTTGCCCATTTTTCAGATGGGAAGCCGGAGGCCCCAGAGGTAAAGTGATCTGCCCAAGGTCAGCCGGCTGGTTTGTCATGGCGCTAAAACTAGAATCCAGAGCTTTATATTGCATCACCCTGTGAGCCGGGGGTCCTCACACTTTACTGGGCATCAGAATGATCCGAAGAGCTTGTTAAAAAGCAGATTCCCAGCACCCCCTCCCCCGAGATTCCGATTTAATAGTGGGGTGGAGAATATGTGTTTTTAGAAAACACCTCAGGGGAGTCTGATGAAGTCTCACCCCCCTCTGAGATACAGGGCTTTAATGCAAAGAGTGTTTGCTTCTGAGACTGATAGAAAAGCACATTAACATTTCCCAAGAGCAGGCTGGAAGCAGGAGGGGAAATAGGCAGAGCTGCAAACAGCTCAGGAGACAAGAGCGCGGGGGCTGAACCCCAGGCTTTAAAACCCTGGAGAGGAACCAGTATGTCGGAAGATTTGACAGGCATGCTGGCTCTGCCATGTAAGGCCACACGAGCTGGATGTGGCCCAGCCCTGGACAACCTCTGGGTCACACATAACTCAGTAAAATGGCTCTGACACTGGTAGAAGGCCGTGATGGACAGTGCTAGATGCTCGTGGACGATTAACCCGCACTCTGTAAATGACAGGTTCTCTGATTATGTGTAACATCTGGGGGAGGGGAGGGGCTGAGAGACTTAGTGTCCTTATAGAACAGACTTTTGCTGAGGGTCTCATGTGAGGAAAGGGGTGGGAAGGGGTTCTGGTTCTATAGCTAAGAAAGGGTACAAGTCCTTCCAGCCCTGGGGGACTGGAATACAGCCACTTCCTTCTGCAGACCTCGTGGTTTGTACCTAGTACAGTGGTACCTTTCTCTGGCCCTAATCCACCCCCAACCCCTCCATGTCCTTGCATCCCTGGGAGGTTTCAGTGGTGGGAGAGGTGAGACTCATTAGGGGCTCTTCCTGTTTTCTAGAGGTGGAGACTGAGACCCCTGGAGGCAAAGAGAGCTGGTTATGGGGCCCCCAAGTGTTCCCACCCCCTTCCTCTGACTGTCCGATTTGAGGGCCAGGGCTGGCAAGCCCCACTGGCCCGATGCCCTTCCCCGGGCTACATTCCAGGGGCTGATCCTGCCAGCGACTGGGAAGGCGGTGCCTCTGGTTCTGGCCCGCACTGGGGTGGGTCAGGTCAACCTGAACTCACCTTTGCTGCCCCAGACACTGTAAAAGCCACTCTGGGCACAGGTGGCCGCCTCCCGCCGCCCTGCCATCAGCCTAGTGAAGGGAGTGGCTCGCACAGGGGCCCTTAGGGTGATGGAGGAGAGTGTGGCTGTAATTTTAATTCGGAGTCGGGTGAAGAGAGGAATGACTGAGCACCTGGGGGCAGAGGGGAGTGTTCAGGAAAAACCTAATGAAGGTTGTCGCTGTCCCGTGGCCTCGTGAGCGAAGGGGTCTGCGGGAGCTGGTGTATGCCGCATGCGAGCTACTTTGGCGTCCGTGCACCACACAGACAGGGAGCACTGGCCCAGGAGTCTGGGTTCAAATCCCAGCTGGGATCAAATCGCAGGCCCAGGAGCTCTGCCACCTTTGGCAACAGGTGCCCTCTGGGAGTGAGAACATGCGATTTCTTCCCACTGTCCTCTCCAGGCCTCTCCCGAGGGCACGGGTGGGCATGTGTCTGTGTGGAGGTGAGGCGGTGTGGACAAGGGAGGGCCTCAGGTCTGGAGTGGATGCCCAGCGGCTGGCTTCTGTGCGCCGCAGGCCTTGGGAAGGGAGCTCGGCTGCTGTGCAGACTGAGAAGGAGCTGCGGCGAGGAGGGGGAGCAGCCCGTGGTCGGGGAAAGTAGCTGGCCTGGTAAGTGGCTCTAAGCAATCCCATCTGCTGTCTGGGCCGGCCCTTCTTGCTGGGGTGGAATTTCTGATGGTGTCTTGGCTGCCAGAGGGGGAGGGCCGAGGCCCTCCCAGCCACAGCTGCTGCCTGTTCCTTTGAAGCTCAGAGCCAACCACCTCCTCCCCAAGGCTCTGCTCCCCAGCCCTGGGCCTGCATTCCTCAACTGCCAGAGGCTCTTCTGAGAAGGCCAGTCAGCTTGTGTGCCTGCGTTCCTTCACCCCTGGGGATGGCCTGGAGCCCCTCCCCTAGAGGGCAGGCCCCCAGGAGTACTGGGAGGTCTGGGCCACCCAGGCCCCAGTATATTCCAGTCCCTTCTCCCCTAGGATGCATAGCAGAGTATGGGCAGGAATGGGGCTGTTGGCTAGCTCCGTGCTCCACTCAGGGGCCCCAGAGCCCCCCAAGTTGAGGTCCTGGAGGCCCCTGCTGGGAGACCTTTGTGCTGCATACTGTCCCCCCTCCATAACCCCAGCCAGGCCTGACTCCTGCACCAGGCTCTAGACTCAGCCCCAGAGAAGTGTGTGGCCTTGGGGACTTACTAACAGCTTCTCCAGGCTGAGAGCATCTGTGTGGAGCCTGTGTGTGCCCATCGCAAGAATCCCCCTGGAGGGGAACCCGTCCTCAGAGGAACAGGTGTCCCGTTCTACAGATGAGGAAACTCAGTCAGAGAAGCTCCACTCACCCAAGCAGTGGTGATCAGAATGAAAGCTGAGGTTGGCCCAGAGCTAAAGCTCCTCTGTGACGCCATGCTCTGCACTCTGCAGCCTCTTACCCCAGACTCCGCAGTGTTCACAACCAACATGCGGCTTCCCCTCTGCAGGGAGCTGCCTGGCCAGACCTGGCCCTGCCCTGCCCCGGAGGACCCCCTCACGCTGTGGTGTGACCTCTGGAACAGCGGTGGCATCGGCCACCGCCTTACCCACCGCCCTTCATTCTCCCCTGCGAGGCCACCAGGAGGTGGACGGGCCCCTGAGCAGGAGGGAGCCCTGGGGGGAGGAGTGGTGCCCAGCTTCCACTGAGGCAGGACTGGCGAAGGCCTGCTGGGCAAGTGGAGGCAGGAAGGATGGAGTTGGGACTCAAAGGATTACAAAAGTTCTAAAGTCCTACAGGCTTTGTGGTTTGCTTTTTCTTAAGATTTTTTTTCTTGTCATCATTCAGTTTTTGTTTTGTTTTGTTTTAATTAGAGAGACAGTGTAAGGAGGAGGTTAAGAAGAGCATGGACTCTGGAGCTCTGCCGTTTGGATTCAAATTCTGGCTCCGTCACTGACTGTGTGATCCCACGTAAGTGATATCAACTCTCTGGGCCTTAGTTTCCTTATCTGTTAAGTGGGTCTTATAATTCCTTTACTTGGAGGCTTAGAAAGTATATGGCACATGGTTAGCCCTCATAGACATTTGCTGTAATGATTTTTAAAAACTGAATCATGTCTGTTGTAGATAATATACATAGGCAAAAAGATGAAAAAATCACTGGCATTGCTGTCCTCTTGCTCTTCTTTACAGGTGATCTGCTTATTTTATTTTTAAATCAATGAATGAACATGAATCAAAATGTAAAAGATATACAAAGATTTACAGAGAAAAGTTTCCCCAATCTGTCCCTTATGACCTAATTCCTCCCAGCAGAAACCTATAGGATCAGTTTCTTGTGAATGTCCTCTCCATACATACGCATATTATAATATACTGTAGTCCAGTACTGCCTTGCCTTGTTCCCCTTAGCCATGGGTCTTGGGCAGGGACACGTATAGAGATGCCTCATTTTTTGTTCACTGTTGTAAACAAAAAATGTATCCTTCCATGATACATAGTATATGAATTCCATAGAATTGGGATTCATGGATCAGTGGGTGAGTGCACAGTGTGTATTAGTGTGGGGGCAAGGGGGCAGGAGTCGGACTTCTGTTCCCAGGATGCTCCCCTGCTCACCCTGAGCACCCCTCCCTAATCTTGGTTCCTTGGCCTGGATTCCCTGGGCACTCTCAGATACTCAGTTGTGTGGCATCCTTGCCTGACCACCTGTCCCAGGGGCTCAGAGACATCTGGGACTGTTCAGACTTGAGAGCTCAGCCCCAGACTATGCAGGCCCTGCTCCTGGAGGGACCTGCAGCCCAACTGCCGGAAGGAGAGGCCCAGGGAGGGGCCACTGGCCCCTCTTTCCCAAGAAGATGGACCTGGGCCAGCATGAGCTCATGCCTGGAACTAGCCCAGCTTCTCTGGCCTGCACCTGAGCTGCCAGTGGCTCCCTTCTCTGAGTCTGGGCTACTGACCTGGTCCCAGGTGCACAGACATTGCTGTCAACCCAGAGGGGTTCCTCCGGGGTGCGGCCCCTGAGTAGGGCAGTGGGGAGCAGCACCCCTTCTGTTCATGGATGTTTGATCTCCTCGCAGCCTCCTGGGTTGAGTGTCTTGGCTAAGCTGATAGAATTTGTTGATGGAGAGAGGGATTGTTGTGGAAATAGTTTTTAAGAAGCTCAGGTCGAAGTGGAAAACAGTTGGTCTTCTCGGCAACTAAACAACCTTGGTGGAGTGCGAAAAGGTTTTTGTAAGGAAACGGTCCTTCCTTCAGGATAAGGCTTTGCCTGCAAACTGCAAACTTCTCCTTTCTCTTCCCTTGCTCTCCCAACACGGGCCCTAGGCACCCCCAGCCTCCCCCAGGGCAGCTTTGCTGCCCCGTTGAGGACTCAGTTCTGGTTTACTTGAGTTCTTGCCACATGCCTGGCTCTGTGCTCAACTCTAGGAATACGGGACGGTGGGGGGGCGGGGGTGGTGGATGGATTTACAGCGTGATTCTGGAGCCAGACCTCCCAGACTCAAATGTCGTCTTGGCCACTTAGCTGTGTGACCTGAACAAGTCCCTGGACCTTTCTGTGCTTCATTTTTCTGTCCATAAAGTAGAAATCACAGGGATAGTATGCACCTTGCAGAGCTGCAGAGAGAGGATGGTAAGAGTGAACATGCAGAAGACACCTGGAATAGGGTTGGCTTGGAAGGAAGCCAGCAATAGTGTTAGAGTATCATTCCTACTATGACCATTATCCGACCAAGATGAGTCAAACACCACGTTACTCATGCCTGAGGAGCTTCATCTTGGACTTTTCAGCTGGAATGCAGAAGGGGCTTCTTGATGGTGCCTTTTATGGCAGCCTAGCTCTGTACTGGGGCCTCAGGAGCCCCAGGGAGGGACGAAGGTGTCCTTGGGATTGAGGCTTCAGGACCAGTCCTTCCCTAGGGGAGGACCTTATTAATTTCCTTTGAAACCTCTTGCCCTAGGCCCTACCTTAGCTCCCCTTGCCTATACACCTACACAAATGGAAATTGAGACAAGAGAGAGAAAAATTAGGAAAGCAACTGTGTTTCTTTTCCTTCTTTTTTCTTCTATGGATTTTTAAAAGATTTTTTTCTGGAAAGGGGGACTTTTGTTCTGCCCCAGGCTTAGATTGGACTAAATGATAGGGCATGGCCCAGAGAGGTTAAGTGGGCAACCCAAGGTCACAAAGCAGGGTGAGGTATTGCTGAGTCTGTCTCTCCTCCTCTTCCTCTTGCTCCTCTCAGGTCCAACCAGGCCTCCTTTCCCCTCGCACTGTGCTCATTGTGCCCCCAGAGGTGGGCACAGGTGTGGCTGCCCCACGGCCCGGTCCCCTCAGAATGAGACTGGCTTTGTCGCCGTCACCCCAGCAGCTGTGGCCGGTTGCGTTTTCCATTAAGCCTTTACCACGCCTTGGGCAGGAGCAGGAGGCTCGGCATTTAAAGGTCACCCGGCTTTTGAAGCTGCAGCGACATTAATAGCTTGGGAAGAAAACAAGCCTGTGCAGGGGCAGGAGGACAAGGCGCCTCTGTCAGCACCACCCCTCCCCCTGCCGGCGCGGGCTCGAGTGCGCGCGCGCGCGCACACACACACACACACACACACACACACACAATGACACCCTCGAGCGCCCGCACTCACACGCAGACCCTAAGAGCCTCTCTTCGTCTCTCGGGCCCCCACCTTCCTTTCTGCCCCCTTTGGGGGCCTCTCCAGCTCAGAAGCCCAGATGCTGAGCTGTCTTCCCTGTGCCCTGCCCCCATGGCGACTGGGGTGACAATTGGACAAGGAGGCAGCTGCCCTTCGGCTGCCCGGCAGCCTCTCCATTAGCGCTGCCATTACCCACTTGAGGTTTCCCCGGGGCTTAACCATGGTTACACAAGCGTCCCAGGGGTCATATGACCTCATTCTGGCCCCGCTGGCTTTTGCAGCCCGGATTCCTGATGAGACAAAGTAAGCCGGGACCTTGTCTTCTCGTCCGGGAAAGAAAGGGCTGGCAAGCAGGGTGCATCTCGCTTGCCAATTCTAATCACTTGATGAAGGGCTCTGTGGGCTCCACAGGACAATAGCAATACCTGGATAGATTCGTGATGTCTGCCAAGGACGGGGGCGCGAAATTGGTGGCATGTGTGTGCCTCGTGTTTCCCACTTGGAGAATAAACTATCCTGAAGCTCTTCCAGTGTTGGGTTCTGAGACCCTGGGGCTTGTTGGGTTCCTCTCTTTTTTAGTCCGAGGTGGGGGTGGGGCAGATTTTTGGGTTCTGGGAGAGAAGCTGCTCTGTCTGCCCTTTCCCCGGGAGCAGCTGGAGCCTGGGCCCTGGGACACCACCTAGTGGCCTGGCATGGCGGTGCCACTGGGCTGGGCCCAGACCTGAGGCGAGTCCGGCCAGTGAGTTCCCTTCTGCAGGGCGGGATCACAGCAATTACAGATGGATCACAAGATCTGGTGTGTCCCTTGTCCCTGGGGGATTTTCAGAGGAGGGAACCAGAAGTGTGCGGAGACAGAGCTGGCCCCTGGCAGTCCCTCCTCCTTGGAGGAGACAGGGTGGGGGTGGGGGAAGGAAAGTACTGGCAATTGGGAGCTCTGGCCTCCTAATCCCACATCTCTTCCTGAGGCCTCCTGTTCTCCCCCTACCTTTCAGGGCTGGGTCCTCCCCAGGGGCAATGGAATGTTAAGTCAGATCTTGAGGGGGTTGACTTCCTGTCCCCAGGAGCTGACACTGGCTTGGCAAAGGGACCATCCTGTCATCAGCCTCCTGTGCCTTGTAAGGGAAGAGGCCCTCAGGTCAGGCAGTAGGAGGCTTCTGGGACCTTAACCATGGTACTGACTGCCTTGGCCTCAGTTGTTTCATCTGTGAAGTGGGATAATAATCCATACACACACACACCCCCCCCATAGAAATGATAGCTTTTTCATGAGGACTAAATGAGAACATAGAGGAGAAAGGGGTTGGGAAACTAAGAAGTCCTCCGAGTGGCGGAGATGCTCATTGATAAGGAAATATATAATCTCTCAGGTGGTCTGTCGCATGAGGAGAACAAAGCAGGGCAAACAGTGAGGGAACGTGGCAGATAGGGCTGGTGCTTGGTACAATGATGCTTGAATAGGGTCCCGAAGGAAGGGAAGGAGGGAGCATGTTGATATCTGTGAGGAGATGGAGGCCCCTGGAACACGTGGCTTGCAGGTGGCTGTGGGAAGGCAGTGGGGAACACCGATAGGCACGGTGGTAGCAGCAGAGGTGGTGAGCTGCAGCCGGGTCCTGGGATGGTCTTGAAGATAGGAAAGATGGGGTTTGCTGCCACCGGGTGTGGGGTGGAAGAGAATTCGAGCACTTAAGGAGTCGCCTGAGCTTTGTGCCTGAGTCACATGGAGCTGCCGTTCAGAGATGAGGAAGGTGGGAGGGGCAGGTCAGGTCTGGAAGGAACCTTGAAGTCGGACGACCCATTATGTCAGCTGCTGTGGGACATCCAAGTGGGGGCAGCAGGTCAGCTGTGCGGTGTTGAGTTGAAGGGCGTGTTCCCAGGAGGCCTCCGGGCAAGAGAAATTTGGGAGCCTGTATTCAGCCTGTAGGTGGTATTTAAAGCCACGGGACTGGATAAGATTGTTCAGTCTGTGAGTGTAGTCAAGGGCCACGGTCTGTGCCTGAGGCCATGCCAACTTGTCTCCTTGGGTGCTTACTAGCTCCGGACCCCCACAGAAGTTCCATCACAACATTCCTTCCAGGTGGTATTTACACCTGTTCTTACAAATGAGGACACTGGAGGTCGAAGAAGTGAAGTCATTTCTCCAAGTCACACAGCTCTACTGACCCCAGTCAGAGTGGGAGCCCAGGACTCTGGCTCCCGGGCTCTCACAGGTCCATGTGGACCCTACCTGGTCCTCCAGGAGACTGGCTGGACTGACCTTGGGCAAGGTCAGGAGAACAGCACTTGGGCAGCTGGCCCACCTCCCTGGGCCAGGCCAGGAGTGACTCAGGCCTTGGCTGTCTCCTCCCACTTGGAGTGAGGATTGGCAGGCTGCTATCCCCCTCCTCCTGGGCCCGGATTCCTTCATGGGGAAGTGGAAGGCCTGGCTCCCTGGGACCTGGGGGAGGACAGGTGTGGGATTTCTGCTTCCCAGTCCCCGGTCACTCAGAGCCCTGAGTTTAGGAGAGCTGAGGAGTTGGCCTCCAAGACCAAGACATCTAACAGGCTCAACGGGTTTCATTCACTTCCACTTTTCAGAAGTGGGTCAGGGGTTATCTCCCTCTGTTGTCCTGCTAGCACCTGGCAGCTGGGGTTCAGAGAGGTGGAGCAGTTTCCCCAAGGTCACAGAGCGAGCTCTGGGGCCAGGCCAACAGACACCCCACCCCCAGTGCTGTCTAGGTCACATCTCCTCTGCTGGAATGTCAGCCAGGCCGTGCCCAGTCTTCTGAGCCTGAGCCACACGTGGCTGCATTTCTGAGGTTCCTTGGCTCCTAGCCCTCTAAGCCTGACTGGGCACTTTTGGCCCCTAGGAGGTGGGTTTCTAATTCTGGCCTCTCTCTGTACTGGCTGTGTGACTTTGTGCAGGTTGCCTGACTTCTCTGAACTGGTTTCCACAGCTGTGGAATGGGGACTATTATGTCTATCTCTGAAGTTATAATAAAGATGAAATGTGAAAGCGCCTGGCACAGGCCTGTAAACCAAAGTCGCCTGCCTTAATTCTTCCATGTGTTTTAAATTGCTTTTCATTTGAGCCATGCTGGTTGCAAAAGAGAGCCAGGCCTGGATGAGACTGACCCCGATGACAGCCCTTCTCCCCACTCCCAGCCATGCTAGCCTACCTCAGCCCTGGCTTCACACTCTGCACTTGAGCTCAGTGAGGGAGGGCCCTCACAGGGTGAGGGGGCTGGCATCGCCCCACCTGGTGGTAATTATAGGCAGCTTGGCTTTGGGGTTTGTGCATTCTGGCAGAGCCCTGTGGAGATGGTATTTCTGAACAACGAATCCCGTTTCCACACACTTCCCGTTAGCGTTTCTGAGCCACTTTCTCATCTGCAGGACGACCTGTGATGGGAAAGTCTAGGTTTTGCCACTACCGGCCACATGGCTTTGAGCCACTCTGACAAGTCTTGGGGGTCAGGGTCTTCATCTGACATGTGGAGCAGGCTGTGGGGCTGGCCCAGGGTTGTCAGCCATGCCATATCATGGCGCACACAGGAAGGGCTGCTTTTCCAGGCTTCGAACCCGGGGTAAATGGAAGAGGAGGTGGCTTGACCTTTGGTGTCTCCAGCTGCCTAGGCCAGCCAGCCTTCCCTGGGGCTTCGAGGAGCAGTACTTCTAAGGCCTGAAGGACTTGCCCACCCCATCCACTCTGGGGAAGAGTTTGGCCGGTGTCCCGACTGCTCCTGGCTCTTTGCCAGGCTTCTGGGGCAGTGGCAACACCAGTCAGGAAGCTCGCTCTGTTCCAGGCACTACTTGGGTGATGATCTTGTTTCATTCTCATCGACGTCCCATAAGTACAGGTGAAGGCCCTGGGCATAGAGAGGAGAGGACACTCTGAGGTCCCACAGCAGGGGAGTGGCAGAGGAGGGATGGCAGCCTGACTCTGAACCACTGTGCTTCCTGTAAACGGCAGGGGCGTGGGAATGCCTCTCGGGATCTTCCTGAGGATCACAGCCCAAGGGGCCGATCCAGGGGGCTGCTCATGGGGGAAGTGTGGCCCCCATCATCTTCCTTCCTCTTCCACCAGGGCTGGGTCAGGTCCTGACTTCTTTCTCCACGGGTTTGCCCTTGGCCAAGTGAGAGTCAAGTCCCTCTATCTCTTAATAAATTACTTGCAGGGCAGCGAGAAGGTGGCTTTACTCCAGAGAGGGTGTTAACACAAGGCACTGACCTGTATGTGTGATGGCGTCAGCATAGCAGATGGCAGGCCGAGGTCTTTTTTTTTTTTAAGATTTTTATTTATTTATTTGACAGATCACAAGTAGGCAGAGAGGCAGGCAGAGAGAGAAGAGGAAGCAGGCACCCACTGAGCAGAGAGCCCGATGTGGGGCTGGATCCCAGGACTCTGGGATCATGACCTGAGCTGAAGGCAGAGGCTTTAACCCTCTGAGCCACCCAGGTACCCCTTCCCGAGGTCTTTGTTAGAGGCCTCAGTGCAGGTTTCCAGAGCCCAGGACAAAGGTGGTGGCTCTAGGGTAGCATTCTGGAAGAGTCAGAACAGCATCCTCTGACCTTCTGATGTGGCAGAGGTGGTGGAGACATGTGGACATGGGGGTAGACATGTAGTATCTAAAGCTGGCTGTGGGACGCCATGTCATACTTGGCTACCTTCCTGTGCTCATTTTCATCCCAGTTCTCAGACTGACCATTTGAGGTCACCCCTCTGTGTTTCCTTCTAAAATAGCTTTGGCCTCTCTGGGCTCCGAGTTGCTCGTTTGGGAAGACAAGCCGGTGAAAGAAGTTGGGTAATAAATCATGCTTCACCCCGTGAACAGAATACTATTCGGGCATTAAAAATGATGCAGGAGATCTATACGCTCTGACATGAGAAGATGGCTACATAAATTATTAAGTGGAAAAAGAAGTTGTGTAGAATTTATGGTTTGATCACGTTTCCATAAAATAAATGCATACATACGGTAGTGGAGGCATAGAGAAAGTCTCTGGATGTAGATACACCAGAGTGTTAGAATAGGTGTTTTCCAGAAGCTGGGAGGGATTATAGTTCCGTGACATCAGTGTCCAGAGGCTGTGTGGGGCCCAAGTGCTTCTAGTTTTCCATAATTTTTTAAACTATTTTATCTATTTATTTATTTGAGAGAGAGAGCAAGCTGGGGGAGGGGCACTCCCCTGTGGAGCCGAGGACATGACCCAGCTTGGCACAGAGTCTGCTTCTCCCTGCCCAGAGCCCAGTAGAGCTCAATCACAGGACCCTGAGATCATGACCTGAGCCACCCAGGTGCCCCTAGTTTTCCATTCTTCAATACAGCCCACCTCTCTGGGACGGGGCAGATACACACCCAACAAGCCCCAGAACAAGAGCCCTGGACAATTTCCACATTCCTCTAAGGAGTCAGAGGTTTGAAGGAGATTAGCATGTCAGCATGGTGCCCCTGGGGAACAATATGCAGTCTCATTCAACCTACGCATGGGGCAGACCCAAAGGGACAGAAGGAATCAATGGTAGCGCTAGATCTTCTGACCTTGGGGTGAGTGAGAGCCCATCTCCTACACCTTCCACACTCCTCTGTTCTGGTCCTTCTTACCACCCACCAGCTGTTTGACAGCTGAGATCATGGCAGGCAAGAGCATCATGTTGATTTGGTCACACGAATGTTTCTATGTCAGCTGTTAAGATGATGACCCCAACTCCTAGAAAAGGAAATCTAGCTTTGCACCTGTTGTGTCAAACTTAAGAAATATTCTTTGATGGAACAGTCCCTTAAGGCTGCCACTTTTCTACAATTAACAAAATGACTATAAATCCTGGTATAAGCATGAGAAAGTCAGAATTTGAGGGTTTTAGATATATTCAACTCTCGGCTGATTGCACTAACAAAAATGTGACCTTGGCAGTGATGTACGTGCCTGGTTGTGAGGGGGGCTGGACAGTTTTCTGATGCAGATTTGATGGCACTCTCCACAATTTGGAGGCCGTGATGGTGGGATCATCAAGTTGGGACCATGATGTGGGAAGCAGAGACTGGGTGGGCTGGAGACCAGAGGGCAGGATGGGGCCCGTACAGATCCCCTCCTGCCTGGGATCCTCAGGGCTACTCCGCAGTAGGAGTAGTGGTTGAGACCAGTGGCCATGGTCCTGGGTTCAAATCCTAATTCCTCCACTTCCTCAGCATTTGTGCCTAATTTTCCTATCTGCGAAATGGGGGATACTAGCACCTACCTCGTTCGAGTGTCAGGAGTCAGCCCACCCAGAACATTTAGGATGGTGTCCGGCCCAGAGTTAGCCCTTGCTAAGAGGTAGCAGTCCTGTGGTAGAACCCTGGCTGTTTTGACTGTTGCCGCTGGAGAGAAAGCACAAAGAAGCTGTTCTCCAGTGGGAAAGGCACATGTTTTCCGGTGCGAAAGGGATCATGGCCTCTGACTCTGCCTCCCTCTGTTTCAGGTGGGACCCTCGGCTTCAGGATGCCCCGGGGGTGTGGATGACCAGCGGCCCCGGCCCGGATGCCGCCGCCCCGCGAGGGCCGCTCCCCGAGGGCCGCCGGTGGCCCTGCGCCCTAGCCTCCCCACCCGAGGACCCCGCGCGCCCCGCCCCCGCCTGGCCGCCCAGGGTAGCGGGAGCCGCGGGAGGGAGCCCCCCGAGCGCACCGAGCGAGCGGCCACGGCGCAGGGATCCGGGGGCAGGGGCTCGGCGCCGGCCGCAAACATTTTCCCCCCGCGGCTCGGCAAAATGACCAGCCTGTTCCGCCGGAGCAGCAGCGGCGGCGGCGGCGGCGGCGGGGGCGGCTCGGCGGGGGCGCGCGGGGCCGGGGCCGGGGCCGGAGCAGCTGCCTCGCAGGAGCTCAACAACAGCCGGCCGGCCCGTCAGGTGCGCCGCCTCGAGTTCAACCAGGCCATGGACGACTTCAAAACCATGTTCCCCAACATGGATTACGACATCATCGAGTGCGTGCTGCGCGCCAACAGCGGCGCAGTGGACGCCACCATCGACCAGCTCCTTCAGATGAACCTGGAGGGCGGTGGCGGCAGCGTCTACGAGGACAGCTCCGACTCGGAGGACAGCATTCCCCCGGAGGTAGGGGCGTGGCCCTGATCATTCACCGCGAGGCCTGAGGCTGTCCGAACCTCTTAGTGGACGTGGGTTGTTAGCCCTGAGTTGTAACGCGCGAGTAGCAGCTTTCTCGCAGGAACCCCGTACCCGAGCCGGTCAGTGGCCTTTTATGGTCAGATAGCACGCAGTCAACAAACATGGCACACCTAGTCGGTGGTGTGCCAGGCACAGTACCAGACCCCACTAACGGGTCATCAGAATTGAGGAGCTTGTTAAAAAAGCAGACTCTCGGGCCCTACCCCACCATACTGAAGTCCAATTCCAGGCTGGGGCCGTCTAGCCTGTATTTTCCAAGAAAGGCTCTTTTTTGCCCTTCTGGGTGTCCACCTTGGCCAAGGCAGACTGAGTTTCTGCCGGCACCGAGCTCGCAAGACTTGGGCCATAGTAGCTGGGAGCAGCCAGTGCTTTTGGTGGGAGAAGTGAGAGCAGGAGAGGAGGATGGCTTCCCAGAGGAAAGGATAACCAAGCTGAGGCCCAAAGAAAGAGTTGGGAGTGAGGGACAGGGTGTGCAAGGCAGAGGGAAGTACTTGTGCAAAGGCTCAGAGGTGAAACAGAGCGAGAGTCACGAGGGATCTGGCAGCAGGACCATCTGTCAGGACCTCTGGAGCCCGCAGAGACCCGGAACTTGAGAAGTCCAGGCAGTGGAGAAAGAGCCTAGGGAACAACCAAAGAGGAGTGACCTCAGACGTACTAGTTAAATTCCTCTGAGCAAGGCATGATGGCGGTGGCAGTGGGCAGTTTCTGAGCAGTTCCTTCCTTTATCAGCGAAGTCGCCGGGGGAGAGGGGACCATCTTGGTGCCTCAGGGTCCACCCGGCCCCATTGAGTCCCGTAAATGTGACCCCCTGGTCTCTGGAGGGCCTGCTGTGCTGGGTGCAGAAGGGGCACACAGAGCCTTCCCGTGATCGGGTCGCTGCCTGCGGGGGCATCTGGGACACGCGGCCCTGGACAAGATGGAAGGGCCCAGCAGATGGCATTTAACTCTGCTCTTTGCTGAGTCCCAGCTGGTACCGGGCACCATCCCACAGGCTTTAGATGTCTCTGTCCTTGCAGTCCTCTTACACTTTGTGAGGCGGTGTTAGTATTATTATCCTCGTTGACAGAGAAAACCTAGACTCAGATATGGCTTCAGATTCCTGGTCAACACAGCCCCGCAGGCATCCAGGACTCTCTTGTCAGCCAGAGCCCTCCTGCAGGCCGAGGCCACTGGCCCTTGTTCCCTTAGTTGGTGCGGCCTGGGATTTCTCCCTCCAGGTGGAGGAGAAGCACTGTGGGCAATGACATTTGCTTCATTCCCGTGTCACCTACAGCATCCAGGACGGTCCTGGCAGATAACAGGCACCCAGGGAATGCCTGTTGAGTGAATAAATGTTGCTCCTGTCTTTGCACAGGTTTCTTTAGTCTCTTTCCTTGGGAGACCACTCCTTTGAACTGCCTGGATTAGCCAGTGGAAGCAGTCTCAGAAAACCCAGATCCTCTTTGTGGAAAGGAGGGGTGAGTGTGTGTGTGTTTGCAAATACATCCTTTAAGTGTGAGCTGGAAGGAGAGTATTCTGCATCCTCTGACCCTTTCCGCAGTCTCATTGATTCTGCGGTCGGCAGGTAGGGTAGCATAATCTTTCCTCCTTTGTCCATGGCCCCCAAGAGCCTGTGAATCTCCAGCGGTCTTCACCATCCCCTCGGTAGGCCTGCACTGTGTGTGCTTCTGTTTTTCTAAGACTCTTGCTTTCCAAATTGAGCCCCTTCTCAGCACCCCTCCTTGGCTGTTGCCCCAAACCCCCACCTTTGGAGCTCCGCCCGGCCCATCGGCAGGCAGTGCCCCAGCTAGCGGAAAGTGCTTCAGAAAATTTATGAGCAGCAGCTGGAATGACACTAACTGCTGACTGGAAAAAGGCCCCTCGCTGGGGGCTGATGGATGGTTGGCTGGCCCGGGGGGGTATCCTTGCCACAGAGAAATATCTCCTGTCAGATCAATGGCCCAGACCCTAGCCCCCAGAGCACCTGGCAGGCATCCATCACCCACACTGAGTGAAGCCAAGGGGCCCCAGAGCTGAAAACTTCAGCACCTTTAGAGCCAGAAGAACAACCTCACTGTAGCTGGTGGGGTGGTGGGGAGAGAGGCTGAGGGAGGCCAGGAACATGGCTGGGGTTACTCTCTCCAGAGACTCGGGATCAGCCTTTCTGGAGCGTGCCTGGCCTGCCGCTTGCCTCCTTGGCGGTTCCTCATTCTGTTCCAGGAGCCTCTGATGAGCGTCTGGTCTTGCAGCCCCCAGAGGCTGCTCTGAGGAACAGGCGCGGCTGTAAGGGGAGGGGGCCTCCTGGGGCCCCTGCGGAGGCCTGATCTCCCTGAGTCTGGAGGCGGGCTGCTACAGGCCTTGGTCTAGGAAGCCCCAAGCAGCTTCCTTCAGGAAACAGCTCTCCCCTCCTCACGTCTCCCTCAAACCAGCCTCAGTGGGGCCAGCCTGGCCGGCCACTGAGGAAGTTAGCCTCAAGGCTCTGGTCTGGATCCCTGTCCTCTCCCCAAGCAGTAGGGTCCGACGGGCAGGGAGTGAGGGATGGGGACAGAAGCAACACTGTTCTCTGGGTGCGCTGGCTAGGTGCTGAGCCACTGTCCTATGCCAGGCCCCTGAGGTTCCCCCGTGAACTGGACTGGAGCTTGCAGTGTTCTCTATCTTTCTCTTTCTCTTTCTCTGTCTCCTTCTCTCTCTCTCTCTCTCTTTCTTCTGGTGGAAATTTGGGGCTAAGGAGAGCAGTGGCCCACAAAACAGCTACATTCTTCTTTTTCAGCAAAAGCATCTGTTTAAATACTTTCCGCCTGAAAAGAAAGAACGTTAGTGCATTCCAGGGCGGGAGGCCTCCTTGGGTCAGGCTGGCCGTGTCTGCACAGTGTGGCGCAGTGTGTGAGAGCGTGTGCTCACTTGTGCGTGTGCCCGCCCACCAGCCCACCGGCCAGGGTGTCCCTGCAAGACTCTGTCTTCCCCGGGCAGGAGTGGGCTCAGGGCGGGCAGGTGCCCTTGCAGCCCGGCCCCACCCAGGCTTTTAGAAGCAGTTCAGCATGATTTCTGCAAGCTCACTCGGAATTAAAATGCAGGGCCTCTGAGCCAACTGACAGCCTCTGAGCCCTTCTCATATTCTTTGGAGGAGATGAGAACGAAAGTGGGGAGCAGAGGACAGGGAGCTGGAAGCTAAGGTGTAGGCCAGCTGGGGTGTATCTGATCTGGGGTCTCCTGGTGGAACGTTGCTTCCTGCTTTCTGCTTCCTGCCCCAAACTCCTCTGTGGATCTCTGGGGAAGGATCCAGGTCAATCCATGGAACAGGAACGCTGGGCCTTGCTGCACCCTTTGCTTTTCCCTGCCCCTCTATCTATCCAGGAGGGAGAGGCATCCTGGGTATTCCCCTTCCTACCCTCTGCCCTAAGAATCCAACCAGGGCGTGTGGGGATTGTGCTTGAAGGATGGATCCTTGCTCTGGAGACCGTGTCCAAGTTGAAGACTCACCTCTGAAAAGAGCATATGGCTTTGCCATGTCACTTAGCCTGGGTCTCAGTTTCCTTATGTATAAAATGGGGTAACTATCCCTATCCTACCTTGCCAAGTTGTTTGAGGTTCAAGCGAGATAACCGATGTCGAGTTACTCTGAGAGCATGTACAAATGATGTTAATGTTATTTATCAGAAGTAACCCATGTACCGGAAAGTACAGGAACCATACGTGTGCGGCTCGATGAAGTTGCCCCAGACCCAGGTCAGGAAACATCCACAGAGCCTGGAATCCTTCTGGTGTCCCTCCCAGCCTGCTGCACCCCCACAGAGGTCCTACTGCTCCGACTTCTGGCCCTGTGATTTGTTTGGCCTGTTTTTAAACCTTGCTTGGATGGATAATGCCGCTCTGAACATTCTTCTGGGGACGTGTGCTTTCATGCCCATGGAGTAGGTTGGAATTGTAGGGTCAGAGTTAGCCATGCATTCAGCTTTATAGAAAACGAAGCAGTTTGGCAAAGCAGTGGTCCTATCTGTTTACCCTCCCCCAGCGGCATGGAGCTCCCTTAGATACATCCTTGGCCGCCCTGGGTTTTGTCTGAATGTTATTCAAATTCAGAGAACAGTCGGTCGTTAACATGTCTTTTTGTTGTTGTTTCCGATCTAGATCTTGGAAAGGACTTTGGAGCCTGACAGTTCTGATGAAGAGCCCCCGCCTGTCTACTCCCCGCCAGCCTATCACATGCACATGTTCGACAGGCCTTACCCTCTGGCGCCCCCCACACCACCTCCCCGGTGAGAACCCAACTCCCCTTGGAGCCCAGGGCGGTGGGGAAAGGGATCAGTCGCTGGGGTTGAGTAACAAACGCCATGGGAAACTAGGGTGGACCCCTCGGGGTATTATTCCACCAAGAACAGGCTTCCACTGCAGCAAGAGACACTGCAGTTAGATACCAAGGAGAACTTCCACACGGGAAGGAGCGCAAGCACAAACATTCACTGAATGGCTACTCTAGGCTAGGTGCTACGCTGAACATGAAATGGGACAGAGTTACATGGGGCTTGGCGCTGCCTTCCGGAATCTCACAGTCAAGGCCCCTGCAAGTGGGAGAAGCAAACACAGGGAATGTGTATGGACACTTGCCCCACCGAGATCATGGCCCACTTCGCTAATTGACCACTGGGCTCTCTCCCGCTCAGTGGAGACAGAATGTCAGAATCCCCTTCCACACAGCACCTCCCAGGCAGTCGGCGGTAACTGATGGGATGGATACCTATTTGGATCCCTGGTCCAGGGATGTCGTGGGGATTTTTAGGCAGTGGGACCAAGTGAGTCTTTTTTCCTGGAATAGTTTGGTAAGGGGAGGCAGAGGAATAGTAGACTGCTGGGTCCTGGAAGACTTCTTCCAGGTGAGGGGCTCAGTAACCTGGAGGGTTAACATGAAGCCAGTAGCCCATGACCTCTGAGGAGCTTGTTTTCTGTGCCATGTATCGGTAGCAGAGCTGCTGGAGTCTGGCTGCCTCTTTGTCCTAGAACTGCAGTTCCTTTGAAGGGCTCAGCGCTGGGGTGCTGAGGAGCTGGGGGGATACGATGGGACAGGGGACCAGTCCCAGTGGATCTTTCCTTCTGGGGATCTTGGGCACCTCAGGACATGGTCATGGAGACCTTTGCTGTGCAGGGAGGGGTCATGATGACAGCCACCAGCTCCCAAGTGCTGGGAACCAGCAAGGACCTCTGTATACACTGTCACGTTCTAATCCTCGAAAGACTTATGAGCACTCTGTTAGTGTCCCCCTTTCACAGATGAGGAAACTAAGCCAAAGAGAGTTTTCATGACTTTCCCAAGACCACAGAGCTGAGCTGTGAACTCAGGCCATTCTGATTCCAAAACCAATGTCATCGTTGCTGTGTCTGTCGCCTCCCTGATGAGAAAAGTCTCTGCACTTGCAGTTCAGGGAGCTGATGGAGGCCTGGAAGGTCACAGGACAGAGGGAACAATGTTTTGCATTGGGGACAGGAGCAGAGCTGGGGTCTTCCCTTTACTGCAAGTGGCACCAGGAGGCTCCAGTGGGCTGGAAGGCAGGGAGTGCATGGATTGGTCTGGGTGAGGCCTTGGCAGGACTTGTGGCCTGGCATGGGTCACGGAGCCCGGTGCTAAGTGATTTCCCTTTGACATATTATTAATTTTTCAAAATATCCCGAGATGCTTTTGCAAAACATCGAGCTTCTACTAGGCAAAGTGGTTCTGCCTGTTTGTCAGAAGGGAAAACCAAGGCCATAAGAGGCAGAATCCCACGGTGAACCTGATGTGCATACCCGGGCCCCATCCAGCTGGGCATGCAGCTGCTGTGAGGACCGGGGTGGTGCCACTCAGGATGGAAGCCACTGTTGGGGGCAAGGGGACCTCAGCACTAACTCAAGGCTTAAGAGGACTGAGATTCAGGGCCCTGACCTGGAAACAAAGGCTTCACTGGGCCTGGGGAGGATACAGGGCAGAGAACTTGAGTCAGGAAAGAAAAAAAAAGGGGGCTCTCCTACCCCCTTCTTTCAGCTGCCCAGCTTCTGAGGCTTTAGGTGCTTCGGCTGTGTGGCTTCTGGCTCACTACTTAACCTCTCTGAGCTTCGCTCCCCTCACCTGTGGATGGGAATACTAATCCCCAGCTCAGCACTGCTGCGAGGATAGAAAGATACTGCACGTGGAGCACTTAGCACAGTCCCAGGCAGGGATCAGACCTGTCACCTCTGCTTGACTGCTCCTTCCCACCCGGGCTGCCCAGCTGGCCTCTGAGCTCCAAATGGAATATTGAGACTGGTGGTGAGGCTTCCCGCAGAGGCCAATGTTCAGAAGAAACAGGGCCAGTCTCTGCCCCAGGATGGCCCTGCTCAGCCAGGTCCACTGGCAGGCTGTTTCCAGGGTCTCGTTCAGTCTCTCTCTCCCAAACATTCATTCCAGCCTTTACTGAGTCTTGCACAGTATGCAGGTGCTGAACCATCTGTGTGATACTGAGATGAATACAGTACTGCCTTGCCCCCCTGAGGAGATTAGAGATTGGGGGAGGCAAAGACTGGGGGTGGGGAGGCAAGAAAGTCTGTCTAGAGGAATTCATGTCCACACTGTGTCCTGATGAAGCAGAGGACAGGAGGGTGTTTCAGGCAAGGGAAATAGCATGTGCAAAGGCCAGGAGGCAGGAGAGGGGGAACCATCCGGGAGCTTTGGGGAACTCCAGGAAATGGAATGGCCATGAGGCTGGAGAGGTGCGCTGATCATGGGGGCTCTGTGGGTCCTCTGAAGAGTTTGGCCTTATCCTACAGCTAGCAGGCTTGAGTTGGAGAGTGACGGGATATGGTTAGTGTTTTAGAATCTCTGGCTGCTGGGGTTGGAGGTAGGAGGCATAGCAGGAGGCCCCTTTGGCGCCTCCAGTCACCTGAGGGGCTTCAGGTGGGGCAGGGTTTGGGAACTTGCCCTGCTGAGACAACAGAGAGGCAGGGTGACCCCAGTGATGAGTGCCTGCAAAGTGAGGACCCCTGGGCCCAGGTTTTACCTACACGGTCTGTGTGTCCCTGGACAGGGCCTGACTCTCTCTGGTCCTCAGTGTCCGTTCTTTTTTTTTTTTTGTCTATTTCGAGAGAGAGAGCTAGAGTACAAGCAGACAGAACAGCAGGCAGAGGGAGAAGCAGGCTCCCTGCTGAGCCAGGAACCCAATGTGGACTTGACCCAAGATGCTGGGATCATGACCCAGGCTGAAGGCAGCTGCTTAACCCACGGAGCCCCCCAGGCGTCCCTCAGTGTCCACTCTACCAAGAATCCTGCCTGGAAGGTTCATATCTGAAATCCTTCTAGGGTCTGATGGTCCATGGGTAAACCTGGGGGTCTGATGGGAAAATTTTAGTTTTGGGGTCCTGGGACAGAGGCTCTGGGCCAGGAGAGCCTCGCAGCCTTCTCTCTCCTTCCCCTCCTCCAGCCTGCCCTTGCCGCTATCTCCGGAATGAGGAATGAAGGTCTCTGAGACCCAGAGCTACCCCTCCGCACAGGCCACCTGCCGTTTTCCCGTTGAAATTACAGCCTTGGAAGTTTTTTATTTGCCTCTCAGCTCATTTCTGACATTCCTTTCCGACCACAATGGATTTGACTGGGCCGCCTGGCCTCAGGGCCCCCCTGGCTCTTGCAGCTGCGGCTGACCTCATCTTTGCCTTTGCCAGGGCCCATGGCCCCAGACAGGCTGGGCCCGACCTTTCTCGGGACCACGGGCCCAGCAGCCAGGGAAACTGGGCTGAGGAGGGTCTCCTGCTCCTTGTCCCCGTCCCCTCTTGGGCTCAGTAACAAAGGGCTAGAGGGGTCTCAGTGCACCATTGGGGTTCTCCCTCCTCACTTTCCTGGGTGGCTCGGATATGGTTGAGTTGGAGTGGGTACCCGTGACCTAGGGGAAGACCCTGGAGAGGAATTCTCTGTGCTGAGGCCAACCACAGGTGGTCCGCACGTCCCTGGGAGAGGGGGCATCCTTTCCCCTGCCTCAGGCCCTTGGGAGAAGTGAAGCCTCCAACAGGGACAGAAGGCGGCAGAGTGATACGGGGAGAGATCTGCCTCGGACTCAGAGTCCTGGGTTGGGTTACAACGCAGGCTCTTCTGGGGCCTTCCCTCACCTGTGCGGTGGCGAGAGGGTGGATGAGGCGGGCGGGCGGGTTCCCTTGGCTCCCACAGCGCACTTAGCAGCTTGTTATCCCCGTCTGCCGCCGCCCCCTTCGCCCTGCCAGGCCACCCGCCCAAAATAGAAAAGGAAAGGAAGTTATTTCCACAGTCAGCGGCAGCCCGGAAAAGCTCTCCTCCAGTGAGGGGGCGGGCGGGATTCCTGGAGCTGGAGACAAATCAAAGCCAGGCGAGAGTGGCCGGCCCCACCGCCCCCGGCCCGCTGCCTTCTGTGTGTGTCATTTCCCTGATTCAGCAGAACACGTGTCCTGCGGTTGCCACGCTGCAGGCTGCTGAGGAGGGGTGGGGAGCTCCTGGCCTGGCCCCGGGCTGCCCTCAGGCTCTGAGGGCAGTGCGGTTGGGGGGGCCTGGTGGTCAGGGAGGGCCCTGCCACTGCTTTTCTTCCTGTCCCCACCGCACCCCCCTTGCTGATGGCCTCTGCCATGGCACACGGACCTCTGGCAGGGCACCTTGCTTATGAAGAGCTACCCCTGGGCACCCCTTGCAGCAGGACCCCTTCCATCCCCGCCTTCAGTGTGCCTCTTCCCAACACTGCCCAAGACACAGCCTCACGAGGGGCTCCTGCCCACCTCGGCAGGGAGACAGGTTTTTCCATGAGGAAGCTCAGCCCAGAGGGGAGCAGGGTCTTGCCCAGGACCACCCTGCTGACTGTGACTGAGCCAGAACTTGAGCCCGCCATCCCCATGTCCCCCACCCCAGCCAAACAGCATTGGGGCAGCTGGGCTGGCTTCTGGGTCTGGTCACTGGGAGCACACCTGTTCCTCAGCGGCCGTGAGCTCGCACTGTGCTGTGTGCTCGGGCCATGCCTGCCATCTTTAGAGGACATTCGTAAACATCTGCATATAAACCCATGACACCCAGCTTGAGTGCCAAGAACACTGAGGACTCCAGGCCTAGGGACCTTGAGTGCACAGAGTGGCTGGAAAACGGGGACTATCTTGCACGGGCCAGGGCCTGAGATGGAGGTTAGCAGAGGCCTGATTGGAAAGATGAGATAGAGCACTGGGCCTTTGTCCTGGAGGCCGTGGGAAGCTTCAGAGCAGAAATGCCATTCTGAGCAGGATCGCTGGTGTGATGGGCCGGGACTCCTGTGTTTGGGCCTGACTTTTCCTTCTTGTTGTTACCTCTCATCCTCCAGCATCGATGTGCTGGGCTCCGGACCTGCATCGAGCCATAGGCGCTACCGTAACTGGAACCCACCCCTGCTGGGCAACCTCCCAGATGACTTTCTCCGCATCCTGCCCCAGCAGCTGGACAGCATACAGGTAATGGGGGGGGGGCAGGGGCAGTGGCCTTGCAGCATCTCCCCTTGCCCCTGGTTTGTGCCAACCCATTTCACTTCCTGATGTTTAAGCCCGGGCTGAGCTATTTCTGTTGGCCTCGGTTCACAGGGAAAGAATGCTGAACCAAAAGCCTCGTTTCCTGTCTGGGCCTGGAGGTTTCCTGTTCCACCCAGGGAAGGTGACAGCCCGGAGGAGTCTGTGGCTACAGCCATTACCCCAGGCTGGAGGGAGGTGGGCATGGGAGCAGCCAATGGCAGAGGGTCCAGGCACCTCCCCGCCCTGATCTGGGATAGGGCCAGGGGCAGCATTTCCTCCTGATGTGGGCACAGCCTCAGGGGCCCTTGCAGGAAGGGGGCCTCACCCTGAGGCAGCCAGGACAGGGAGAGTTTTGAGCCTGGGCCTCCATGGGGAGCTAGCCAAGCTATCGCGTGGCTTGCAGATCACTTTTCAGGACTGTTCAGATTGTAGATGAGGGCTGGGGTGGCTCAAGGGGGAGGAAACATCGTTTTTAAGTCCTTGCTGCTTCCGCAGCAGAGTTTCTGGCCTGCTAAGTTGGGTTTCGGCTGACCACTAGGGTCTGATAGCAGGTGCAGGCCCCAGGACGCGGCTGGAGGAAGCTGGGAAAGGACACGTGTGCCCCCAGATACACATGGATGTTTCTGCAGCACGTGTCCTGGTGAGCAGCCATTCAAAGCCCTTACTCCCCTCCTCAGGGTAACCCCAGCGGCTCTAAGCCCAGGAACAGCGAGGGAGGCCTACCCTCTGTGGCTGGGCCCGGGGCACGGGACCAGGAGAACCGCTGGAAGCAGTACCTGGAGGACGAGAGGATTGCGCTTTTCCTGCAGAATGAGGAGTTCATGAAGGAGCTGCAGCGCAACCGGGACTTCCTGCTGGCCCTGGAGAGAGGTGGTGCCCCGGAGCCGGGGGTGGGGCACTGCAGCCACTGCTTTGTGGCTGGGGAGGGGAGCTGGAGCGGCTTCAGCCTTGGGGCTCAGAGGCGGCACTGAGCTGGAGGCCGAGGTGGTCTTGGGCCTGTTGATATATGGCCCTCACCTTATGAGAACCCCAGAATTCTGCCAACAGGGACACAAGTCCCCAGCCAACTCTTCTCCCTTCCCGGGACTCAGGAAGACAGGTGTGCCTTTGTAGGCCCTCTTCTTTCCCCGGCACATCACTGGGTGCCAGGCACTGGCCTTGGTACCACGTGTCTGGAGTGGGGTCTGGGGGTGCCTCCCTGAACAGAGGCTGGCAGAGCAGGAGCTCTCAAATTTTCTGGCAGTTTGGGTTGTCTTTGGCTGGAGACCTTACTCTGCAACCTGGCAGCCTTTCCCCTGCAGGGTGGGAGTGTGTTTTGAGTGGGGTATAGTGAGGGGCCTGTGGGGGGCCTGTCTTATGAGGGTCCCAGAGGGAGTGTGTACATGTGTGTATGTGATGGGTAGTTGGGAAGAATCAGGTGTGCAGGGAGAAGGCGCCCCAGCTCTGCAGTACAGGTGCTGGGGGGCGTCAGGGCCTGGTCTCGCCTGCCTTTAATTTAACTAACTATTTGAGAGAGAGAGAGAGCAGGAGAAGGGGGTGCGGCAGAGGGACAGGGAGAAGCAGGCTCCCCGCTGAGCAGGAAGCTCCACTTGGAGCTCGATCCCGGAACCCTGAGATCATGACCTGAGCTGAAGGCAGACGCTCAACTGACCAAGCCACCCAGGCACCCCTTATTTTACTTTTTTAAAAGATTTATCTATTTATTTGAGAGATAGAGCACATGCAGGGGCAGGAACAAAGGGAAAGGGAGAAAGAATACCAAGCAGACTCCCCACCGAGCATGGAGCCCAGATGGACGTGGGGCTTGATCCCACAACCCTGAGATCCTGAGCCAAGTGGAAAAAGTCAGACAACCCACTGAGCCACCCGGCCGCCCCAGGGCCTTTCCTTATCAGCAACGAGTCAGACTGTGTGATGTCTCAGGGTCCACCTAAGTGTGGTCTCCTGCCATTCCAGGTGCTTGTGAGGGCCGGAGTTTCCGTGGCACAGCTGGTTCTTGGAGAGCCGGAAAACATGTGTGCACATATTTTGTGTGTGTCCTGTGAGATCTGAGGGCTCGGTCTCCAGCAGCCTTCTTGTACCTCGGCCTAGGGTGCCGCTGGGAGAGAGATCACTGTCCTGACAGCAATGTGGTCCTTTTCCAGATCGTTTGAAATATGAGTCCCAGAAATCCAAATCCAGCAGCAGCTTGGCTGTGGGAAACGACTTTGGCTTTCCGTCTTCTGCCCCAGGTAACCTTGGCTTCCTGGGAGAGAGGTCTAAAGGGCAGAGAGGCTCAACTCCCCGGTTTCGGTTGCACTTTGCAGATTTGGAGTTTGGGGGTAGGGTGGGGAAAGAGGCTGGAGGGGCAGGTTCTGAGCCCACCACCGAGCCCACCAGCACACTCACCCAGAGTGACGTGGCCCCTCTACTTGGCAGACCTGGACTCTTGCCAACCCAGTGGCTGCTGGAGCCCCCCTGGGATTGGCTCACGTCCGGCTGAACTGCTCAGAAGGTTCGTGGAGCATGGGCAAGAAGGGACACACCACAGCATAGCTGTCCCATGGTGGGTGGGCTCAGGAAGGACACAGAGACTTCCAACACTTCATCTCTGCCCTGGGGGAGCTTATGGTCTCATGAGGAATGCAAGAGAAACATCCAAGAGAGGGCTGAAGCCAGCAGAGCTGAGGACACACTGCTAAGAGCAACTGCTCATGGTGAGGAGGGCATGGTTTTTTCCTTCACGGGCCGAGGCTATATCGGCCCTGGCCGGGCCCCACCCTCATGCTGGAGGAAGAGAATCTTGAGCTTCATGTACAAGATGGTGAGAGGGAAGAATTGCTTCAGTGGAGGGCCAGGCCCCTCTGGGAGCCCTAGCCCACTGAAGGAGGGCCCGGATTGGACAGCAGGCTATTGGGATGCACGAACAGGAGTCAGGCTGGAGCTGGGAACATGGGCAGAGAGGGCCAGAAGGTCTGGGTTCCATACTGGACACCTGGACCCCACCCACGTGTCCCTGTGTGGTGCCTCGCGGCCCTTAGCCACACATAGGCTGCCCCCCGCAGAGAGAGCAGCAGCAGCTTCTGCCTGAGGCAGACCTTACATCGCACCGAGGAGTGGGGTGGAGGGGCAGAGGGATGGGGAGCTCTGCTGATCCCGGCTCAAAAAGAGAAAATCCCGTGGAACCGATTCATAAGCAACAGGCTCGGAGCTTAGGCCCCACCAGATGTGCATCTGGGAGTTTTAACGACAGTCTCTCGTCCTTGATCCTGAATGAGCTCGACACACGAGGGCTGCTGAGATGGATCAGAATGACTCACAGGGGACTTAGCAGGCAAGGTGACTTGGGATTAGCTGAGCTGCAGGGTGGAGAGCAGGAGCTTTAGAAGGGCAGCGAGAGACGCACGTGGGTGCTGGGTGAGCGGGGAGGCTCTAGGTGGCAGCTGGGTTTATCTTCATTCCTATGTCTAATGAGTCCAGAACTTCATGTCTGGAGGGGCCAACCCCGGGCAGGGAGGAGAAGGGAATCATCGCAGCCAAAGGCCTGCTTTGTGCCCGCCCCTCCCTTCCATTCCCGTAGTAGCTCTCACACCCGGTAGGGATGCAGGCCAGCGGCAGCCGCTGCGCATTGGTGACTATCTTCCAGCCAGTTCAGGGTGCAGGGGAAACCCCAGTGCTTAGCGTCGGGTGACTCCCGTGATGTAAATACTCCCACCAACTTACCAGCGTGACTTCACGGAACGCGGAGTTGGTCAGAGAAGCTGGGAGCTGGAAGGCTGTGGGAGCGGCTCTCCACGCATACAGCGGACCATACCATGGTCCATGGTCCTGCTTTGTTGTTGTTTTTTTTTAAACAACATTTTAATTTTTTTATTTATTTTTTTAAGATTTTATTTATTTATTTGACAGACAGATCAAAAGTAGGCAGAGAGGCAGGTAGGGGGGGCGGCGGGGGGAGTGAGGAAGCAGGCTCCCCACTGAGCAGAGAGCCCAATGCGGGGCTGGATCCCGGGACCCTGGGATCATGACCTGAGCTGAACGCAGAGGCTTTAACCCACTGAGCCACCCAGGCACCCCAGCCATGGTCCTGCTTTGTACACAAAGAAGCCAAGCAAGGAAGGCTCTGTGGAGAAAGAAGTGTTCCTCAGATCCCTAGTGTCTTTAGGGAAGAAGCCTGATCTTTTGCCCCTTTCCTCAGATGGAAGGGTTGGGCCGAACCCCTGACTTGTGGGGCCGGCCCTGACCCACTCCCCCCTGACCCGGGGGCGTTGGGCAGCTCCTGTCCCTCTCCAGCCAGCCCTCAGAGATGCCTTCCCCTTTCAGGAACCAGTGACGCCAATCCTGCTGTGTCTGAAGATGCCTTATTCAGGGACAAGTTGAAACACATGGGAAAATGTGAGTCCGGCCTCTACCTCCTCCCCATCTCTTCGAAGACAAGCCCTGTGGCCTCACAGGAGGGAGGGAGCCAGCTGGAGTTTTGAAGTGGACTCTTGGTGAACCAAAGTGACATTTTAATCGCAGGCTGGTTCCTGCCTCACTTCCCTCTGCAGCTGAGTCTGGATACAAATTAAGTTTTAAATCCTCTTGAGCCAGCTGTCTGTAGAAAAATAATAATATGTGGCCCTCCCCACCCCCGACTCCCACCCCAGTTTTAGAGTTCATGTCCTCTGTGGCTTGAGGGGACTTGGCCAGGCCTGATGAGTGGGGAGTCCCGTGCTAAGCCCACTTTCTGTGGGCGGGAGGCCCCAGGGTTTGTGACCTCTTCCCACAAAGTCCTGCCAGCCAGGATGCACCTAGCCTTCCTCCTCCCCTCCCCACCACACAAGCATGTGTGAATGAGGCTGCCATCCTTCCAGGCTCCATTTCGGGGGAAAATCTCGGATTAGTCATGGAAATCCCAGAACCAACTCTGGAGGTGGCAAAGGCGGCGGGGGAGGCGGCGGGAAAGACAGCCAAGAGTGTTGCTGACTGCTGCAGCTGGGGCAGGAATGCCTGGATCTCGGGCTGCCTGCCCGCGGCCCCGCTCTTGGTGGCCTGTGCTGCCCCTGCAGGCCTGCCGGGGGTGGCAGCCTCCCTGCTGGGGAAGGAGGGGGCGCCCCCCCCATTCCTATCGCCCCGCTGCCTGCCCCCACCCCAGGGCTGGCCCTGCGGCTGTGGCTCACAGGTTTCTCTGTCCCAGCCACCCGGAGGAAGCTGTTCGAGCTGGCCAGGGCCTTCTCCGAGAAGACCAGGATGAGGAAGTCAAAGAGGAAACACTTGTCCAAGCACCAGTCGTATCCTTTCCGGCCTGGCGCAGGGTGGGGGCATAGACGCTGAGGGAGCTGACCCCCTTGCTGTGCCCTCTCCAGGGACTGGGACCTGATCTGTGGTCACCCCCTGCGCCATGCGCTGTGAGGCCAGCCCACCGCCGGGTCTGGAGCCCCACTACCGGGCTGGGGAGTAGGCCAGCATATCCCACTTCTCTGGGGTCCTGAGTTATCTCATGACATCTTCACTTTCTGGCTGGGCTCATCTACTCTTGGGAGAAAATGTGGTTCTTCCACTGAAATCAGCACACTTCTCCCTAATTTCATGAGTTGAATTGACCCATAGATCTTGCCGCCTCCCCATTTCAAGCACGTTGGGCCCTGCCTTCTTGCTTTCAGTTTCTTGAGTAAAAATAAGGTTCTCCACGTTTTAACCCAGACTCCCACCCATGCTTGTTACATGGGCCCAGGATATTAGAAGCTGAGCAGCCAAAGGGGAACAGGGGGGAACTCCCTTCTCCATCCCCAGAGATGGGAGCTGGGTGAGAAAGTTGGGCCCTGGCTGTTACCCTGATCCTGGGGAAAGGAGGCTTTGGGGAGTGTTGGGGGATAATGTTGGTGTGGTAGACGTCCCTGAGCTGGGAGTGGGTGGTAGAGGCCAGAGACAGGGACTGGTAGAACTGGGAAGATGATGCCAGTGCCCACCCATCGTTGAGACCGTTTTCCTGAATGGCCCGGCAGGCTGGGAGCTGCGGTGTCAACAGCTAACCTCCTAGACGACGTGGAGGGCCACACTTGCGGTGAGGCGAGGCGGGAGGGGAAGCTTCATGCTAAGTTCCTTGTCATCGGTGACCCTCTAAGAGGAGGTCCTGGTGTTTCATGGGTGGACCCAACCTGGGGGACACATCTTGATAGGTGGGCAGGTGACCCAAAGAAATGGGTCCTCCCTCTTGGTTCACATGGCCTCTCCCTTCCTTCCACTCCCCCAAAGGGGGCCCCAGCAGCACCTCCACCTAGGTCTCTACCTGGAGCACAAAGTGTCAGGTGCTGTTTCCGGGGTCTCTTCTCTGGGGTGGGAGGGGGTAGGCACACCAACCCACGTGGAGGCGCCTCACTTGGAGAACCAAGCGCTGTGCAGTTTCAGTCTCTGGGCCCAGAGACCTTTCAGTATTCATCTAGTCCCTCCCAAAGGCCATGTAGGCCAGAAGACACTGCCTTAGACCCTGGCAGACCCGCAGCTGAATCTGATCCTCATGCCTCAGAGCAGAGGGGCCCTTGAGGGGTCAGGAGACACCTGGAAACAAGGGCTAGGAGGGTGCTAGAGGTTGTAGGGAGGGTACCACTTCCCCACGCATTCTACAGATGAGGAAGCTGAGGGAAGAAATTGTCCAAGCTCAGTGATGGAGCCAGGCCAGCAGCCAGGTGTCCTAACCCCACACTGTGCCCTGGTGCCTCTTAGCACCCATACATTCCCCACCCCGCCCACCCCAGGATCAGCATGTGCCCCAGCAAACAAAAGGGATGGAGAACGTTGGGTCAGCTCTCTTGCCCGGCCCGGGAGACATGCCTGATGAGGCCCTGCATGGTGCAGCAGGAGGCAAATTTCCTCTCCTTTTCAGATGAAGACTTCCGGGGACGGCGACAGGAGGTACCCAAGGTGGAGGAAGCCCTAAGGGAAGGACAATAAGAGGTAAGGCCTGGAGCCACAGTGGCCCAGGGACTGCCCAAGGGGGGGCCTGCATATGCCCATACCCCAGGGGTTTTCCCAGGGATCCAGGGGCATTGGGCTCAGGCAACTGGATGGCACAGATCCTGGTTTTCTTCCCCTATCATTATGGCAGGGGACATGGTCTCTGGATGGAAACCGATCTTTTGAGTTTCCTTTTTTTCTCTTTTTTTGGTTATTTATTCATTTAGCAGAGTAGTCACACCTGCCTGTGCCAGATCCTGGGAACAAGGGGGAAAAGTCAGTTTTGACCTTGATGGTTGACAGCCCATTTGAAAGACAGTTCAGGACACATACTGCACAGTCAGGGGACGACTTAGGAAAATGTGATGTGGCCTCCCCACAGCCATGCACACACAGAGCTGTCCCACTGCCTGCTTGGGTTGGGTGCTCTGCAATCTGCCACAACCACAGGAAGAACCAGTTTCCCTCCAGGCAGTGCTGTTGCTGGCCTCGGGCCCTCGGGCTGCTTCTCCTGCTCTTGTGCCTCCCTGACTCCCAGTGAACCAGGGAATGTCAGTGCCCCCTCTGGGGCTCAGTAGAACCTGTTCCCTGTTCTGGGCCCTCCCCATCAGGAGGCGGCCCACCCACCCTGCCCCAGGCTGCTGTCCTGGTCCTGGTGGCCAGCGTTTCCAGGGCTTCCCCCAGCCGTGGACAGGCTGGCAGGTGTGGCCCTCACTCCGTGATGACATGGCTCGCTGCCCTCGGGATGGTCGTGGTGGCGGTGGATCAACCAGCCTGGGCGGCTGGCCTTCACACCACTTCCAGCTGACTGCCTCCCTCTCCGCTGCTGCAATTCCCCCCCCCCCACGCCACCACCACCCAGAAAAACATGTCTGCTCCAGAGCGCCACCCCCCCACATCAGGACCTTGCCATCATCATTTCTCTCCCGAGTTGTCCAGCTTTTCCCTTTCCAGCTCCTTCCTCAAGCCTACACCCTCCTCCTCCTTCCCGGCTTAAGAACCAAGAGTTTTCATTATTTTCCTTCATTGCCCAGCTTATGAAAAAGTGGCAGCCTCTTTCACCCATTGCAGGCGGCAGCCCTCCCACCACCCCCGGACTGATGCAGGAAGGTCACCCCAGGTCCAGGTCCTTCCGTTCTGTACCCTCTGGTGCTCCCTTCTGCAGGCCATGCCTGCAGTCTTTCTTGAAACTGTTCCCCGCCTACCCCTGTGGCCCAGGAATCCTGGGCCTTCTTCCTATCTGCTGTTTATTCTCCCGTGCTGCTCCTGGGGGCTCCTCCCAGTCCCATAGTCCCGCTCTTCTGGGAGCTCTGCCCTTGACTCTCTCGATCCCACTCTCTGGCAGTCACTGCCCTTCTTCACAGCAACAGCAAGACCTCTGTACAGTGGGCCCCTAACTCTGACCCTCCCTCTCAGTCAGTCTTCCACGTCCACTCTGCATACCAGCTGTGCCCATGACCATCTTTCCAGCCCTGGGTCTGAAGTCACTGGGAGCCAGACAGCTTCTTCTCCGGTCTTCCCTATTTCATTTCTCCTCTTCCTTCCACCTTGTGCTGGTGGACTCCCATCACCGGGTTCATGGCTGCTAGGGTCTTCACTGCCCGACTCTGTCCCCCCGGCACCAGAACACCACTCTTCTGCCCTTTATCCCTTGATGTTGGAGTGAGCGCTCTGAGTAGAGGTTTATGAACTCCTCGGCCTGGTGTGTGGGGCCCACCAAATTCTGACCCCAATCTATTTTCTGCCCCTACAGGTCCTCTTGGTGTAGCTCCCTGAGCTACCGCTGCATTCCCAGAATGGGCTAGCTACTTCCCCACCTCTGAGCCCTTCCTGTACGCTTCTGCCCCCTGGAATTCCAGCCCCCACTCCATCTCTAGCTGCCAGAGGCCCTGCTCTTGCTGTTCTAGGAGCTTGGATTTGGAGGGTGGGACATGGCCTCGGGCAGAGTTCCAGCGCGGGCATAGAGTCCCTGGAAGGAGAGGGCGCCTGTCTTTGGGACCTTCTGCCTAAAATCATCTCTGCAGGGATTGCTCTGCAGGGACAAGGACAGACCACTGGGCTCCAGGGGTCCTTCCAGTGGGCTCCAGAAGCTCCAGACTTCTTCCATCTCTTTTCCCTACCAGATGCCAGCAGTTCCTCCTTGCCGGAGATGTCTGACTCGGTGGAGGTGGCCGGAGAGCCAAACCGGCCCCCAGCTGAAGGGCCCAGCTGCCACCAGACAGATGGCGCCGAGGACTGAGGCCTGGTGATTCTCCAGCCACGGTCCAGCCCCACCACTGCCACCGTCACTGCCACTTTCCATGGGACTTAGAACTTTGGAGTTTTGTGCTGTGATTGGAGGAAGGACCTGGGGCCCTAGGGGCAGCAGCCCATCCTAGCCCCTCTTGTAGCCAGGCTGTTCTGTGGGCCATGAGTGGAAATGCAGGAACCACCACCACGTACCCCCACCCCACCGCCCTGCCGCTTACTTTAAAAAAATCCCAGAAAAAAGGCAAAGGTTGGAGTACCCGAAAGGGCAGGATGGTGAAGCCCCTGAATGGGGAGCCCCTGCCCCCCTCCTTTCCCCATCTCTCCTTCTGGGCCCCAGATACTGCCTGACCCTCTATCCCCATCCCCAGCTCCCATCTGGGCACCTTGCGTCCTTTATTCCCATGGCTTCCTGCATCTTGGCCTTTCCCCCAGGCCTGCCGTTCGTGCAACCCCTGGCCAGAGCCATGGGTGGGAGAGCGCTGGGCAGTCACTCAGGCCCCTCTGAGGAGTGACGGGCCACTATAGAGAGTGAGTTACTGGCCACCCTGCCAGGGCCCCACCAACTGCCTCTGTTAGGGGTTGGCATGGGCCCCTGCCAGGGATGGGGAAGGTGGCCACCCTGGAGCTGGGGGACTCTTGGCTAGGCAGGAGTGTTCTGGACTGTGGCAGAAGACAAAAGCGGGTTCTGGATGGGACCCTGCAGTCACTTAACAGTGGGGGCTCATGGGGGCTCTGAGTAGAAGTCCTGCTGTCACTAAGGGTGGGCAGCAGCAGGTTCTGAGGTGACCCTTGAGAAAGTGCAGGACTGAGAAGCAAGGGGAAGAGGTGGCCAGCTCTGTGGGGGTGCCTGGGGCAGAAGGGCTTCCTGGTACCTCTCGCCAAGAACAAGACAGTGAATGGTTTGCGAAGGCACACTCCGGTTCCACAAGCCTTATCGGGCACCAACCACTGCCAGTGGGAGGGCGGCTGGCCCAGTCTCTCCGGCCAGCCTCCAAGATGGGAACGCGCTGACCTCTCTGGAGAGCCAGGGAGCCTGGGCAGGCACGAGGGGTTCCCCCTCCTTCCCTGCAGTGGGGAACCTGCCCAGCCCAACATTGCTAGGTGGGGAGTGGGAGCCCGGCCTTGGCCGGACCTGGTGGCCACACGTCACCCCGAGATAATGAGGGCGTGGCGGGCACAGTCGCACCTCGTTCCACTGAGGCCCCGGTCCACTGGGAGGCTCAGCTTACCCCGCGCACTCCGGAGAGGCGGCCCCCTGGGCTGGGGGGACGGACACGCCTCCGCCTGACCAAGTTTGGCGGCTGCACAAGGCCTGGGGCGCTGGCACGGGGACCTCCTGCCCTCCGCTGCTCCCTGCGACCCGGCCAGAGCTCCCCCGACCGCCGCAAGCCCCCAGGCCGCCAGGCCAAGCTCCAGATGGTCTGGCCCCTGGGGCAGAGGAGAGGCCCCCCGGGCTGTGGCCCTGACCCCTCCCAGCGCATGGTGAGGGAAGCCTCAGCCCTGAGTCTGTGTGTGTTGCTTTGTTAGTTGTGTTTTCTCCTATGTGTGGGTTTTTTTCTTGGAGCTGTTTCATAGGAATTCCTGTAATAAAGACTTGGTGTTCTCTTGGTGCTCTGATGTGGCCCGCGGTGTGGGCTGGACCCTTCTCTTTTCTCTTCTTGCCCTGGGCAGGATTTGGCCTCCTGGAGCCCCTGTCACTCCCGAGGGCCACCTGCCTCGCCACCCTCCACCCTCTCCCCCAAACTCCCCTGTTAACCAGTTAACCCACAGCGTGTATAAGGTCCCAAGGGCTTAGCTCTCCCGTGGCAGTGCACTCAGGAGGTGACACCTGCTACCCGCACAACAAGCTCACCAACCTGCTGGCTTTGCTAAGCTCAGGCACTCTCCTGTTTGCCCTGGGAAAGTAAACCACTTAGCTGATAGGCAAAGGAAAACACCAAGGGGAAAAGCCAGTCTGCCAGGAAAGCTCCAGCCCATCATTTCCCCAAATAAACAGAAAGCTTCTGGAGTAGCTGAGGGGAGGCTGCTGGGATATGCAATGCCAGACTTCAAAGACCCGCAGACATCTTCCCGTGCAAGCACCTCTACCTCTCACCCCCCCCACCCCCGCAGCTCAGCCAGACCACCTCCCAGGCCAGGGAAGGCACCGCCAAAAGAGGAAGCTGCTGCCGTTTCCAGATGGCCGTTCTCAAGGTTAAAAATGTCTTTCTTGTGTTGAGCCCAAAGCACTCGTGGCTTCCACCCACGCATCTTGTTTCTGGGCTCCCAGTCACCCAGGCCAAGGCCACTGCCGTTCCCGCATGCCACATTTGAGCTCAGCGTCTGAAGGAACAATGAGGGTTCCTCCCGCCCTCCTTAGAAAGAGGTTCTCCCTCAGCCCCAGCCAGACCCAGGGACAGCTGGTGATGCTTTCCATGTGTACTGTTTGCAGGAGGGCAAACCAAACTTAATCTTTAACCTAACCCTACTCTTTTAAAAGATTTTAAGTAATCTCTGTACCCAGCTTGGGACTTGAATTTACAACCCAGAGATCCAGCATCTAGTGGTCTACTGACTGAGCCAGCCAGGCGCCCTGGCCTTGTGCATTTTTTACTGATAGGTGTGTAATCCCCAGAGCATAGTACTGACACCTAAGGACTTGTTAGGAATGCCAGTTCTCCACCCTAGCCTAGACATACTGAGTCAGAGACTCAGGGAATGTAGCCCAGCAATCTGATTCTGGTGTCTGGAGCCACAGCGCCAGGCCACTACCTAGTACTGGCTGCCCAGAATTACCTGAATGCTTAAAATAAAATCCTGATGCCCGGTACCCCAGACAAATTAAATCAACAACCATGGAGTGATTTATTTTAAAGCTCCTCAAGTAATTTAAATTTGCAATCAAGTTTGAGGACCAGCACACTGGGAAGTCTGGTAGGTGTTTCATATTAGCTCAATTAATCTTACCCAATAATGGCCACTTGATAGATGATGAAATGACAATTCAGAAAGGTTAAGTAACTGGCAAGATTACAGAGCTAGTAAGGTGTGAAGCCAGAAACAGGCCCTCAGGCTGCCTGATTCCAAAACCTCTGTTCTACGCTCCCCAGCCCTGCTGCTCCAAGTGGGCTCCTGGTGCCTGCCCAGCGTCGCCTGGGGCCCTACTCCAGACCCACGGACTCTGCAACTGTGAGTATTTTAACAAGCCCTCTGGATGATTGTGGTACATGCCAAGTTTGAGAAGCACAGTTCTACAACCTTGCTACTCAAAATCTGTGCTAGGTACCAGCAGCATTTGTATCATCTGGAGCTTGATAGAAACACAGAATTTCAGGGTCTACCCTAGGCCTACTGGACTAGAATTTTTTTTTTTTTTTTTTTTTTTAAAGATTTTATTTATTTATTTGCCAGAGAGAGAGAGGGAGAGTGAGCACAGGCAGACAGAATGGCAGGCAGAGGCAGAGGGAGAAGCAGGCTCCCCGCCGAGCAAGGAGCCCGATGCGGGACTCGATCCCAGGACGCTGGGATCATGACCTGAGCCGAAGGCAGCTGCTCAACCAACTGAGCCACCCAGGCGTCCCTGGACTAGAATTTTTTTTCTTAAGATTTTATTTATTCATTTGACAGAGATCACAAGCAGGCAGGGAGGCAGGCAGAGAGAGGGGAGGAAGCAGGCTCCCTCCTGAGCAGAGAGCCCGATGTGGGGCTCGATCCCAGGACCTTGGGATCATGACCTGAGCTGAAGGCAGAGGCTTTAATCCACTGAGCCACCCAGGCACCCCTGGACTAGAATTTTAATAAACTCTTCTGGTGACTTGGATGCACACTTAAGCAGGAGAAACACCACTCGAGAACACCGGGTCTCAAACTTGCTGTACGTGGGAATTATTTTTCCTTTCTTTCTTCTCTCTTTCTTTCATTCTCTCTCTCTCTCTCTCTCCACCCAACATGGAGCTCAAACCCATGACTCTGAGATTTGCATGCTCCTTCGACTCACCCAGCCAGTGCCTCATATTGGAATTATTTCTGAAATTTTGGGTCTCATTCTCAAAAGATTCTGATTTCATTGGTTCGGGATTTAGGTTGTACATCTGGGAACTGGACTGCAAAGGCTCCTCAGGTGGTTCTAACATGCAACGGAGTTTGAGAACCAGTCACCTTTTTGCCTTTAGGTGTAGCTGACTGAAGCTGACTGTAGCCAGAGAGGGGATGTGGGGAGAAAAGGCAAAGAGAGGGGCCCCTGGGTGGCTCAGTGGGTTAAAGCCTCCTGCCTTCATCTCAGGTCATGATCCCAGGGTCCTGGGATCGAGCCCCACATCTGGCTCTCTGCTCGGCGGGGAGATGTCTTCCCCCTCTCTCTCTGCCTGCCTCTCTGCCTACTTGTGATCTCTGTCAAATAAATAAATAAAATCTTTTAAAAAAAGAAAGAAAAGGCAAAGAGAGCTCCCCAGATCCAACAGCAGATGAAGCCTCTGCTCCACGATGAGTCCCTCTGTGTTGAACGGTGTCTTCCTAGGACTTAGGAAGGAGTCGGGCTGGGCCGGACAACCCCCTTATCCATCTGCCCTCACATGCCAGGCTTATCTGCCAATATTGGGCTCCTGGTATCCACGAGGTGATACATGGGAGATCTGCCTCCTGCAAAAGTGCTGAGCTAGGCTCTCTGGAGTTCTGGCCCAGCCCGTGCCCCTCCCGCTTTGTGTGCTTTGGTGTATCCAGGCTCAGCCCAGCTTCTGAGGAGATCATGGGTCTGGAGAATGGTGTCCCCAGAACTGGCCTGGTTATTACCATGCTGGGGACTCAAACCTCCCTCTGTTCTCTTGAGGCACCTGGTAGGGGGTGGAGGTTGGAGGAAAGATGGAGAATTTTGTTTGCAGAAGGCAGAAGGCAGGCGAGGCATGGGATGATGAAGATGATAGTTGCCTATTAAGTGCTTACTGTATGCAACTTTTCTGGGGTGCTTTATATACATTATTTTACCGAATCCCCACAACTACTATATGAAATCAGTAGTATCACTCCCATTTCTCAGATGAGGAAACTGAGGTACAGAGATGTTAAGGTCCTTACTCAACATGACCCTTGGTTATTGGTAGTACTTACTACCCAGGGAGCTGAACTCCCAAGTTGGTACCTAAACACTAAGCTATAAAATGGGGTGAGGGAACAGGTGATAAGACCCAGAACCTCTCCATAGATGCAATCTGTTGAGCACAAAAAGGTCTCCCTGATTAAAAACATCTCCATAGTGATGTGTGATCCAACAGTGTGCCGGGAACTCACGTATTAGCATTCTTTATTTGGTTTAAAAAAGTTTCTTAGCATTTCCATCAACTGAAAAATATGCTGTTTAGAGAGAAGCACATGAACTCCTTTGCCCATTATCACAGCACAGATTAATTTGTTGGATTAGCTGGCTAGGTCAGCTGGAGGAAGATTTAGAAATTTCTGGAGATGGGCGGGGGCCTGGCTCGGGTTGAGGAGGGCTGTGTAAATCTACTGCCACCTGGTGGTCTCTCTCAGAATTGGCCATTGAGAGGCTAACCTCATTCTCCCACAAGTGAGCACCTGTTAAGCCAGAGGCCAAACAGAAGGGAATTTATTCTATTTGCATGGTTATATGTTTTGCAAATTTTGCAAAACAAGGATATTTTTGTACTTGTTTTTCCTTAAAAGAGCCTCTAAGATTACATAAGCTTTACACCCCACCAAACCAGCAGCTACCCTAATTTCTAGAGATTAAAGAGTCACAAGTCTTTATCAGGTCAAGAGGATTATTCCAGGGACTCCGGAGTGAGGGGCTGCAAAACTCAGCACAAACTCAGCTGGCTACATCCGTGCTACTCAAAGTGTGCTCTGTGGACCCAGTGACCGAATGTCCTGGTTTCCAGGTCCAGGTGTTTCTCAGATGTGTGAATCTCAGTGCTAAAACTGGGAGAGTCCTGGGAAAACTTGGGCCAGTCGGTTGCCCTGCCTACAGATTAGCAATATCGGCATCAGCTTGGGCGATTGTTTGAAATTCAGAGTTTGGGTCCTCACCCCAGATCTCCCGAGTCAGGACCTGCATTTTCCAAGATCTTGGGAGGTTTGAATGCATGTTAAGGATGTAGTTGCTTTGCCTTCCGCAAGAAAAGAGGGGCCCATATCAGCCTGAAACATCTGCCTTCAAGGGTTGCATCTTCTGCTGGGAAAGCTCCAGAGTGATTCCAATTGCCTTTTAATTCTAATAATAAGAAGCCAGATTGTTGCTTCAGGCCCAGCTGGCTCCTGTTTCCTTGGCTACAAAAGGAGCCACGGTGATACAGGGGTGGGTAGAGGCATAAAGTGTTTCTCTTTCCTCTCCTTGAACTGGATTCTTGTTGGGGGCAAGACTGTTTGCTGAAGAAATGAATGGGCAGCTTTGTGAACATGCTTTGCAAATTGTTAGGTGTGATTTAATAAATTGTGATCCATTGCTTTTAAATGAGGAATGCTCAGAAGCCATCATCATCACTCTTATTTATTGGGCCTATACACTAGGCACTGTTTTTTTTTTTTTTTAAGATTTATTTATTTATTTATTTGGCAGAGAGAGATCACAAGTAGGCAGAGAGGCAGGCAGAGAGAGAGAGAGAGAGAGAGAGGGAAGCAGGCTCCCT